GAGGCTCACCACCCATTTATCCCTCCGCCTTTCAACTAGCCCCACATGTGATTATCGGCCAGGTTGGCGCAATTAACTCAGTCATCAAAGGCAATTTCAAAAAGTAATTTGCTAGTTCTTCAAAGAGTTTATTATACCACAGAGTCAACAAGACCACTGTTAGATGCGTGCTCACAAGAACTGAAAGTCAACTGAAAGACAACCAGACACTTGAGCACCAGCGTTCTCTGCACCCATGGCCCAAGGATGGAAACCACCCAGGTGCCCATCAACAGGCTCGCACGAGCACACAGTGAAGGGCAGAACTACGTACACTGAAGTGTTTGTCAGCCATAACGACAGTGAAATCCGACTGAGACGAACCTTTACTATATATCACTGTGTGAAGGAAGTCACGCAGAAAAGGGAAAATACTGCATCATCTTACTGAAAGGAAGCAACGGGCCTAGGAAAATGCCCAGAGACAAAGGTTTGTTAGTGGTTACCAGGGGCAGGGGGAGAGGGACACAGAGGTAGATAGAGTTCAAGGCACACATTGCTCCTATTAGTGATGAACAAATTCAGAAGCAGACAGTGGTGAATGTATTTAATGTCAATGAACTGTTGACCTAAAAATAACTGAAATAGCAAATGTTTTAGTGTACATATATTTTACCACCAACACGGTTTTTAAACGTAATTATTAGCATCTGCTGGATGTAAACAGGATAGGAGGATTTGAGTGTTATCTAAAATAGCTAGATATTTTAAATTTTGCCTTTTCTGTTTTTTTGTGTACCACTCTCCCTGTGAAAGACATTTTAAAAAGGCCCACCACTCACTGAAATTACTTCAAAGTTAGAAATGACATTCACACAGTCAAATCCAGTCACTTCCCAATTTGCTTACTAGCTTTCTCCCATTTAAACGTAATTATTAGCATCTGCTGGATGTAAACAGGATAGTAGGATTTGAGTGTTATCTAAAATAGCTAGATAATTTAAATTTTGCCTTTTCTGTTTTTCTGTGTACCACTCCCCCTGTAGAAGACATTTTGAAAAGGCCCACCACTCACTGAAATTACTTCAAAGTTAGAAATGACATTCACACAGTCAAATCCAGTCACTTCCCAATTTGCTTACTCGCTTTCTCCCATTTAACCCCATGAACCAACCACTCCTCTTCTCTCAAGTTTTCACACATTCCTCTTGGCTCTCCCTTTGCTAGGCTCCTCCTTGGCTGCTTTTGGGTGCCCTGGTGGTGTCCTGGGTTACAGTTTGGGATGTCCTACAGGATCAGCAGAAGGAGACCCCTAGCTGCTCCAGGAGAAAGCTCAGGTTTTTCTGCGCCTGTCAAGATTTTCCCAGCTCAGAGTAGCAGTTGTGCCATGTCCCAGCATCTCTAGGAGTCAGAAGTGAATTTGGTTAGGGTATGCTAGTTTCCTAAGCCCCAGGCATCAGAGGTATTCTGCACTCTGTTCTTGCCCACCAGTTGAGAGCCTCGCACCTGCATATCCAGCTCAGACATCTCTGTAGACCAGAAGGTCTCCAAGCTACAGCTACGTGCCCATGCATAAGTCCAACCCCAAATCTGCTGCACCAGCTGGATAAACGACAGCATTACAAACCCCACCATTACTCCTATTTACACAGTGATTTGATTTGATTTTTAGGCCTAAAATTTGTCACAGTCTACAAATTTTTGGATGGAAAAAGTCATAAAGAAAGCCACTTTACATAAGATTATTTTATTTTCTGGGGGCATTAGCAAAAGTAAACTGTGGTGCTACTTCACTTGCTGTGGAACCAATTTTGGAATCCCACAAGGGGGCGCTCTAGCGCCTCCAAACAGCCCTGGTTGGTAGGTCATTTTCTCTTGTCTCAAAGAACAGCACTGCTGCAATCTAGGCTGAGAGAGGGAAGCTGTCACTAAGCATGAGCCACCTGGAACAAGTGCCCCTACTGGGACTAATCACTGGCCCCAAGGTCTCCAGCTGAGAATGCTGGTTATGCAGTAAGGCCTGCAACTGAGACTTAGCCATGAGCGTATCTGAGATGATACCCATCCCCTGCCATCAAGTGGATTCCGACTCACCACTGTCTCTCTCACCCTGTACATCTGAGGGAGCAGACAGCCTCATTTTTCTCCTTTGGAGAAGGTAGTAGGTTTGAACCTCCGACCTTGTGGTTATAAGTTGAATACTTAGCCAACAGCACCGCCAGGGCTCCTTTCTATAAGGGAGAAGACCCCTCGTTTCTACTTTTGAAACTGTCCACCTTCTCTTGATAGTTTTTTATACATCTTGTAAACACAAGAAAACTAACTTCATAAGTTATTTATTTATTCCATAGCCATATTCCGGTCAAGTCTGTGGCATTACCCTATGCCAGAAGATAAAACCGTGTGGCTGGGAGAGGTTGGAGGACTTATCAAAGGTCCTGGGCTAGTTGGCAGAGCAAGGGGCAATGAACAACAGGTCTTTCAGAAGCTTAGTCAGTACTTTTTCCATGAAAAAACTGACCAAGGCCTAGAAACCCCTCAATGTGGAGATGCACATTAGGAAACCTTATCAAGAGAATGCAGCAGTCATGAAAATCAAAACACCCCACCCCTTTGGTATCAGGAGCTTCAAAGAGTCCCATGGGAAAATCCCATTATCTTTTAATACCACTGCTATGTAGTGTAGCGGCATGACTAAGTTTAGGGGCGGGTTTTACTGCATGGGGCAGGGGCTGACAGGATGCTCTGCCCATGTGAGGGGTGTGCAACTACATAGGACCCAAGGCAACAGACGTACACTCACAATGCTTCCACATGGGTTAGTAACCAGACCCACCCACATCCTATCCAAAGGGCACACGCCGCCTGTAACAGGAGACCCGAATCCTGGCTGCATGAACCAACCAGGACATGACATGACAGTGTTCCAGGTAGTTCCCAAGCCTGACAGAAACACGACGGAAAAGAGAAAGAAAGGTCACTTAAAAACCTTTCCAAGATTCTATTTCTCTCCCCTCTGAGTGCTAAATTTTAGAGGTCTCTAGGAAAGTAAATCCCTCATGCCAACTAGCTACTGGCCTCCATAAACCTTCTTTGGAGCAAATGTTCTTGTAGAAAAACTGAGTCTGCTCCACATACATGGGGCCACAGACAATGCCTTCATTTGGTGTCCCACATAACAGCCGAGTTACTAATAAAGCAGTGGGTGTGGCATTGGTGGTTTTAGCTGACAATGAATGGCCATTGTTTTTCAAGCTCCACCACCGTCTATTGCTCCAATATTTCACTGCTGAAAGGAAGTTTACCTCTATTAAAAACCCCACTCATTAAAAACTAGGAAATGGGCAAAATGTATCTATTTTTTCAAGGAAAGGGGGTTGATACACATGTGTATCATTTTTTCCTTAAAAGAGTTGGGCACTGTGGCCAATAGGCTTTGCAGTCAAGATAGAAATGAGGATCAAACCCCAGCCACAGAACCTCTCCACGACCCAGGCTCCCCTT